AAAAAAAAAAAAAAAAAAAAAGGTGCTGGCACTTGTCTCTAAGTTTATTTTGTCTCCAGGCTGGCCAGTCACCTGAATTTCACCTGTGATTCGGTCTCAGTTTTAAATCTCCTTTTTATGATTGGTTTGGTCGTGGGGAGAGACTCTGGAGCGGAAAAGGACGAAGTTCACGTCGACCCTGAGGGGCTGCCCCCCGGGAACGGATTGGCTCACGCCTCGTGTGTCGTTCGCCCAGGTGTGCCCATGAGGGATGTGGGAAACACTTCGCCTCCCGCAGCAGGCTGAAGAGACACGGGAAGGTCCACGAGGGTGCGTACGGGGGCCCCTGTGGCGCCAGCTTTGAGTAGACACTAACCGCGACGCGTGCCGGCTGGCCTAACGCTTTGAGCGGAAAGCGCCTTCTCTTCTGTTCCACGGCCACGCTGAGAAACTCGGCACTGTCCAGGCGGGGGCGGCACGCTGCAGCTCGAGGTGTTAGGCTCTCAACCGGAGGCCCGCCTGTCGCCTGTTCACGCACCGCTCTTGTCGCCGTTGGCAGCGAACGCTTTATGCCCTGCGCGAGTGCCTGGCGGTGCGTTACACTTCTGAGTGCGGCGCTCCGGCCGAGGTTGGCTTCGCCACCATCATTTAAATGTCTTCACGACCTGGGTCATTCTTTTCCTTACCGGCACTCGCGGGGCTTGGGTGACAGTTTGAGATTCCGGAGGAATCAGGTCGTAACTTCTTTCAGAAAGACTGGATTAAATTACCTGAATCTGTTCTGTTTCCATGAGGGACGTTTTTATATCTGTATTCCGATTTTCTGAGTATAGAATATGTTTTTGGGTTGTTTTTTTTTTTTAAAACGAGAGAGTAGTAGGTGAAGCCCGAGAGGTAGCCTCGCTCCTTTTGGTTTCACTCTGGTATCTCGTGGGTGAAACACGGGCTGGCCGTTACCCGGACTGATTGTTCCAGCTGCGGTGCTTTGCACAGTGTCCGCTGTCGCCCGCAGCGTTTCCTCTAGGGTCTTATTTTCTCCCTTAGTCGCAGCCCGAGTCTTTTCTGCAGTGCAGAAGCTACCAGATGGTAAGACTTGAGGCGGCCAGGGATGGGCACACAACCACCAAGACTCAGTGTTGGTGGTCTGGCGAATGCAGAGGACCCCAGAGCTCTGAGGAAAACAAGAGGCGAGCACAGAGCAGGGAGGGAAGGGACCGTGAGCCAGCGGCCGGGGAGTGACAGCAGCCGGGAGCCCACGCGCGGTCTACCCAGCTCACTGACCACAGCGGGAGAGGGCACGGCATCCTTCCGTGGAGTCTGCTGAGGTGAAACCCTACGTGCAGTGAACGCCTTGCTGCGCGATCGTTGGGTTTTACTGTAAAACAAACCTTAGTTTTTATTCCCGCCTCCGACGGCTGACAGAACAGAATGGTATTGGGAGGTAGGAGGGCAACTGTATAGGCTTGTAAGTTTCCTTTCCAATGACGAGCGGTGTTTACGCTGAATATTCACAGAAGGCGATGCGCCAATCTGCTTTTTCCTACGCAGGCTACGTGTGCAAAAAAGAATGTTCCTTCGTGGCAAAAACGTGGACAGAGCTTCTGAAACACATGAGGGAAGCCCATAGAGGTGAGGCAGATGTGCGTGGCGCAGTGTGACATTTGCCCCTACGGTTTTGGAGACTGAAGTGCTAGGCGTGTGCCTTAAGACAAAGGCGTTCCCGTGACGTTTGTGAAGCTGGTACCTCGGTGGCCTGGCAGACGCACGGGAGCCGGGGTCCCGGGTCGGGGAGGAGCCGCCGTGCAGTTAGCGGCCGGAAAGTCTCCCGGGGGGGGGGGGGGGGGCGGGCGGGGAGGCGGTGCCTTCTGTACTGGAGGCCGAGGAAGGACACGGGTCTACTTCATCTTGTCCCCTGCCCACGGCCACCAGGCTGAGAACCCCTGCTCCCTGGTAAGGGAATGGAGTGACTCCACGTAATACCCGCACGTGGGAGCATCAAGACCGGCTTCCGAGCAACAGACACTGCAGCCGGTGTTCGGATTTATGATCATCGTGACCTTTTTGGCCCCAAATACCTGCCTTACAAGCTCAGCGTTAATTTGCCCGAGTGGCGATACCCGGGGAAATGGGTTAAGTGTGTGTCTGCTCCACCAGAGGCCATAAGATGTGAAGTCTGCCAGAAAACCTTTAAACGCAAGGATTACCTGAAGCAACATATGAAGACTCACGCCCCGGAGAGGGAGGTGTGCCGGTGTCCCAGGGAAGGCTGTGGTAGGACCTACACGACGGTCTTTAATCTCCAGAGCCACATTCTCTCTTTTCACGAGGAAAGGCGCCCGTTCACCTGTGAGCACGCGGGCTGCGGCAAAACGTTCGCAATGAAAGTAAGTACTCGCCCTCACAAACGCGGTCCTCTAGACCGGCGGCCTCCCGGCGGGGTTCCTGGGAGCCCTGGGTCCCAAGACGGTGTCCCGGGGCCTGCCGATGGGGAAAGCTGGGTGACCCGGACCTTCCCCTCTCGCCTCAGCAGGGGTGGTTCTGAAGTCCGCACAACAACCGGATTCACCCGTGCCAGTGGTTCTCAAAAGTGTGGCCCTTGACCGGGAGCTTCCGCATCACCGGAGAACTTGCTAGAAATGCATATCCTTACCAACCCCCCCCCCCACCCCCCCCGAATCAGAAACTGGGGATGGGACCTGGTAATTTGTGTTTTAACAAACCTCCCAGGTGATTCTTACGTACCTACATTTGAGAACCAGTGGCCTGTGGTACCACATGCCTATTAGGTGTCCTTTTAGACTCACCATCTAGGGATTGAGAAGTGGGCATCAGGACATGAGGGACCTTAGGACTGGAGTCTAGTCTAGATCTGGGTGAGATGTGAACAGGTGAGCACGTGACACTCACTGGAGGGCCCGTGCGGTTCGGCAGGCTCTCTGGCCGGTACTCTTCCAAGCGTGTGCCGTGCGCCACGGTTAAGATGGAACACACAAGTGAGGCAGGCCCAGCGTGGGTGCAGACCGACAGGAGCTCGGAGCTGATCGCAGTCAGCATCATTATCAAGGGCAGGGAGACCGGTCAGGTGTTCCGTTGGTGTTTGGGAATGCTGCTGCCTAGATTCAGTTACAGGAAGCTTCTTCATGAAGCCTGGAATAGCTCATCCAGAAGTGGCTCTCCCCCTCCTCCCCCTCAGGAAGCAACTGAGAAGCCATGGGGGGGGGGGCGGGGCGGGCGGCGAGACTGTCTAAATTCCGAACCTGAGTCCTTGGGAAAGGTAGTGATGAGGTGTAGGATGTGAGGAGGAATTCTGCTCTGGTGGGAGCATCTTTAAGTAGAGGTCAAATCCCTCAACGGTATGTAACAGAAAGAAGGTCGACAGTTTAAAGAACTCGTGAAGTTCTCATATTAATAGGCACCCAAATGGCAGCGTTTCAAAAACATAACTTTTTCTTTTCCCTTCATCGTAGCAAAGTCTCACTAGGCACGCTGTTGTGCATGACCCTGACAAGAAGAAAATGAACCTCAAAGTAAGTTAACTGGGGCCCGCTGTGGGTTTTAAACCCAAAGTGCCCCAGCCGGATGCAGTCTCGGGTACTTTCGGCTCGTCACTGCTGTGTGAGCTGCTCTACTGGGAACGCGATCGCTGGGCTTCACTTTCTTCTAAGGGGGTGCTGGGTGCCTGTTGGGGGGTACAGCTATTAGGTTAGTTGGATAGTTTGATTTTGCGTTCTCATTGTCTCGCTTTCTTATTTCCAAAGGTAAAACCGTCTCGTGAAAAACGGAGTTTGGCCTCTCGTCTCAGTGGATACATTCCTCCTAAAAAGAAACAAGGACAAGCTCATCTCTGCCTACAAACGGAGAGTCACTGAACTGTACAGAAGGCAGGGTGCTCTCGACGGTCGCGATACTTACCCTCAACTGAACACCAGATTGCTTTGCTTAAAGGACCACAGACCAGCCAGCTCAGTTCTTTCCTCCCAGAAGCACATTTTTCTTTATTAAAATCACGGATGCACAACATCTGATTCTCTGTTGTTTCCATTTTCTTTGTTCAAAGGGTCCTCTTTCTGGGCTCCTTGGGTTTCTCTATATGCATTCTCTTCCTTTTTGCTTAAATGACGAAGAACACACATTACAGCTTTCCCTCCCCTAACAGGTTGTGGGCGGGTTGAGAAGGTAGCTATTCCGGGCATAGTTTGGAGTATTTGATTACATATCTCCTCCTAGAAGGGGAGAACGGCCAAAGATTAATTTAAAACCAATGTCTTCGACTCTTTCTAGTGCTAATGCTCTAATACCCATACAAATCTGCATTCTTGATTGAGTTGCTGTTACTTAAGTGATCAGCTCAATCAAAGTGTGCCTTTCTGGTTAAGCAGTCATTGAAACCTGTACCATAACCAGGCAGTTTTACAAACTCCATGGAACTATACTCCCGCACTAAAAGTCGATAGTTTAAAATCCCCGCTGTCAATGGCCCTGAGGGGCTGTGTTTGGCTCCAACTACCCTCTCGGAAAAGAGAAGTACAGAGCGGTGGGTTTGGGCATGGGCAGAGGACCTCCTTATCCCCACAACTGTCAGTCCTGTGCGGTTCCTAACACGCGCTCACAGAGTCATTTGGGAAACACACCCAGTTCAGAGATCCAGGATCAGCTGGGCTGGGTCCTAGGTCTCGGTGATTCTAACATGAACAAGGGTGGAAACCACTGGACCCGTGCTGCCGTTTAGCTGCTGAGTTCTCGGACTCTAAAAGTGAAGTAGATACTCTAGACTGACCCTGGGAGTGTAAACTGATACTTTTCACAAAGACCATTTAACTTTATATGGAAGAATTCTCAGAGGCGTTCATAAATCGTAAATAGACTTTAAAAAAATGAATATGTTTTTCTACTTAATTGTTAGATACCGTACAATTTGTCAAAGGGAAGAGTATACATTACTCTTTCACTAGATCACAAAGTGCAGTGTTTTCACATGACGATACTTACGCTTCAGTGGACAAAGTATATGGAGCGTATGTTTGCATTTTGAAAAGCGAATTGGGAAGCTACTGCCATCACGGGAGAATTCGCCAGCTACTCTGCCTTTACGTTACCCAGACTTTCTACGATTGTTCTTTTAGATCAGCAAACAGAATGAGCAGTTTCTCAGACCTGCTTTCACTTACCATTTTATTTTCCGGCTCTACGTTCTTCCCTTTCTTTATAGTAATTTGAACTCTGTATTTTTTCTCAATCCATTGCTGAATCTGTTTACTCTTTGTGTCCAAATCATGTCGTCCAATATTTGAAGAAAAAGTTAGCTCCTTTGTCAGGGTGGGGCCTAGTTTAAAACAGAGACTTTTTTAGGACTGTTGACTGGTCCCTTTGGGGGGCCTGAGCTGGGTCATGCACACTTCGTGAGATGTGTGGTTGCCACAGGGGCCCGGATGCTCCTCTTCCTGACTTAGTCTGACAGACCGGTGAACACTTTTTAAACAAGGAAAATAGACCTAAAGGTACCAGTTTTTACCTGTCAAGTATCTAGATATGAAATGCTTCCATTTATTAGTACCCTCATTTGGTGACAGTACAAAAGAATGGTCCTTTAAAAGGAACAAGTTTAGGGGCGCCTGGGTGGCGCAGTCGGTTAAGCGTCCGACTTCAGCCAGGTCACGATCTCGCGGTCCGGGAGTTCGAGCCCCGCGTCGGGCTCTGGGCTGATGGCTCAGAGCCTGGAGCCTGTTTCCGATTCTGTGTCTCCCTCTCTCTCTGCCCCTCCCCCGTTCATGCTCTGTCTCTCTCTGTCCCAAAAATAAATAAACGTTGAAAAAATAAGTAAAAAAAAAAATAAATAAAAAAAAATAAAAGGAACAAGTTTAGCTTTATGATAAACTTAATTGGCCTTATTTTTCTTTCTGACTGGAGCAGTGTTTAGGAAGTACTCCTTTTTCAAAAAATTTTTTAAAATGTTTATTTTTGAGAGAGAGACAGAGCATGAGCCGGGGAGGGGCAGAGAGAGAGGAAGACAAAGAATCCGAAGCAGGCTCCAGGCTCCGAGTTGTCAGCACAGAGCCCGATGTGGGGCTTGAAACCCCAAACCATGAGATCATGACCTGAGCTGAAGTCGGACGCTTATCCGACTGAGCCACTCAGGCGCCCCTGGAAAGTACTCTTCTCATCTGACTCCTTTAGTGGTGCCCTTCTAGTGACAATGGGGTCACCCGGACTGCATCAGACGAGAGCGAGCTATGTCCTGTATCCAGCAATGGAAATCCTGACTTAGAAAATTACAGGGAAGGAACAGATTCCTTAGTAAAAGCTTTGGAAGATTCAGAGTTTTCATACGGGGGAAAAGTTAGGTTTTAATCCACACAACAATCTCCCTGGGAGCACTAACTGCATGTGAAAAAATACAACTTTAAAATAGAAGAAAAGACCGGGTATGTTTGTGACCTCAGGCTAAAAGGATTTTGTTAAGGGACGGCTGGGTGACTCAGTTGGTTGAGCATCTGACTTCGGCTCAGGTCATGACCTCACCGTGTGGGAGTTCGAGCCCCGCATCGGGCCCTGTGCTCCAGCCTGGAGCCTGGACCCTGCTTCAGATTCTGTGTCTCCCTCTCTCTCTGCCCCTCTCCTGCTCATGCTCTGTTTATCTCCCTAAAAAATAAACGTTAAAAAAAAGAACGATTTTGTTAAGGAAAAAAATTGATAATTTCCTATGTCAAAGACACTATGGTGTAATTTTGAAAAGGGCAAAAAAAAAAAAAAGAAATCTAACTAGGATAAGGTTTTTTTGCATCACACAGAGAATCTTATAAATTGGCGGGGGTGGGAGGGGGGACCACGCAAGTAGAGGAAGAGGGCATGTAAACAGGCAGTTCACAGAAGAGGCAACTCAAATGGTGAAATGAAACCCAAAGAAATAATAAGATCGGGTTTCTCACCCATTGGCAGGACAAAAATTAGATGAGAGTACCAAGTATGGGTGAGGATGTAGAGAAAGAAATTTTATATATTGCTGACAATTTGCCCCATAGACTCTGGAGACACTGACAGACATGCCCTTTGGTCTGGAAACGAGCCAGCTCTGGCTGGAAATGAAAGGCTGGAAACGAGCCCAATGCCCATGGAAAGGCCCTGACCAATCCACGGTATCTGGTACATTCTGAGGATTCCATTGAGTAATTATAAAAAATTAGCTACAGCTGTTACATAAACCTAGCTCTTGAAGACAGCATGACACAATTTTCATGTGTACAGAATCATGCCATATACCACGGATTTGTACGTCACTGAAGTTAACAGCACAGACTCACATTCATGTCCACGGCGGCAGGGAGGGAGGACGGCACAGGAAAAGGGAGCACGGAGACTTCGACTTTCCCGTAATGTTTTGTTTCGTTTAACAACCTTTAGTACAACAACGTTAACGCTTGTTCATTTTGGATGGTGGGTAACAGGTGTGTATAGTTTTCTGTATGCTTTCTAATGCCCAAAAGTAATTTTCCTAAAAGACCTCCTTTCAGGAACACCTCCTTGCTTCCTTCAAGCTCCCGCAGCTGGTCCTACGTCGCCACCGGAACAAAATTAATGCCTTTACCACCTCAGAGCTTCAACTATCTCTGCAAAGGGCACCCCCGCCAAAGCTCTCCAAGCTTCTCGGTGCTGTTCTGCGTTTTTTCTGCGATGCAATGTGATGCCCTTACCATCCCGGTTGGCCTCTTCTGAAGACGTTTCGTTTCCCAGCCAACATCCTTGTTGCATGTGGTGCCACAGAACCGAGCCACAGAGAACCGTGTGATTTTCCTAAGACACACAACCTCGCTGTGGCAGCTCTGGGACCCGTCTCCTGCCCCCTGCCCCCTGCCCCAGAGTGTTTTCCATAAAACAAGCTTTCGTAACCGTCAGCACTTATTAGGACTCATGAAAAATTTTCACTTGATGTCTAGTTCCTGGCTCCATAAGGCATGAGAGACAAGGCCGTGGTAAGGTGACCGGTAAACGTGTAAATGAGCCTTACTACCCACAGGGTGTGGAAGATGCTCTATGAATCCCTTCGGAGATCAGAAAGGGCTTCCGGCCAACTGGCCAGGCGCCTCCACGTTAGAGATGAGGGGGAAATCGGGGAACAGGGCCCCCATCGCACTGCTTCCGAGGCTCATTTCATTCCGGCCGCCAGAGATGCTGCCACCCCCGGGCCAGGCCAAAAGGAAAAGGGGTCCCGTCGTTCTGGGGTGCCCCCATTTTACACGAGGAAGCGACGCCGACCACAGGGCATCGAGGAGAAAAGACGGGAGGAGGAACGGAAATGAAGCGAGAGCTGGAGAAAGATGCGGGAGATGTGGGGAGGCCGTGAACTACCCCGCTGCTCACACCCCCGCTGTCACCAGGCACCTCGGCAGACGCCCTCTGCGGTCCCTGGGGCTCAGGGCACGGGCGGCAGGTCACCTACCGGGTTTCGGGTGGGCCTTTCCCAGCTCCCGGAGTCGCAGGCGCTCCTCGTGGATCTGTGCCCCCGTCAGGAGCTGGTACTGCGGGGGCTCCGCGCCGCTGTCCCTTGTCACGAGCCTCAGGTCCCGCTCGTTCATGAGCCTGATCACGTCTGCTCGGTGCATGTTGCCCAAGTCGTTGCCGGCCTCATCCAGCACGTGAATAACCCGCTCGTGAATTTTTCTTCCGATGTTGCTAAGAGCTGGTTCGTTCTTCTTTTTCTTCTTCCTCTCGTCCTGGGTGTCTGCAACAGTACCGAAAGCTTTTGCGTGAATCGGGCAGGACAGTCTCGGGCCAGAAGCTCGGAGGGACGGCCGTGCTGGTGCGGTCTGGTGCAGGGTGTATGTACCAGGACATCTAATGCAATTATTTCCAGTCTTTACGGTGTGCAACGTTAGCCTCTTTAGAAGAAGAGTGGCCATCCTAAAAAGTAGGGAGAAAGGTTTGTTACCGTGCCATCATTTCATCCCCGTGGTCTGATACGGTGCACGGAGGGTGTGCGTGTGAGGGGCTGCAGGCCTGTGTCATCTGCAAACATTGTGGACCCGTGCACAGGAAATTTCCACCAATGACATGGACTGTCAGGTGACTGTAGTCACACTAGGTCCCGGCGGTCCCGGCTCCACCCAGTGCAAGTTACTGTCAGAACAAGCCGCATTTGATCTATTTCCCGAGGATCTATTTCCCAAGCACTACAGTGCTGACTCTGAGAGCAAGTATCATCCTACAGGTTTACTTAGAAGGCAGTACATAACATCCTCGGCGATTCACAAATACCAAGTCATAAACTGTGAATACAGTCAGCTGTTGAGAACTTATCAGTGTATCTGGAGGTATCCAGAACACAAAAGCGCTATTCTGGGAAAGCTGGGAGCACTCTGGGAGGACTCTCAGAGAGGAAATATCCCGACAGGAATCAAAGTGCCGCCCTCATAAACCGAACGGATGACGCACGAGGTAATAAGGCGTGACGACCAAGCGTTAACTAAGCGTTAGGCACACGGGGTGAAGCTGGTTTACTGCATGGGAATAACCGCTGCTCTTATTAACGGCATTTTGGCTTTTCACTTGCTTCTCTCGCCCCCTAAGTGTCTCTCTCCTTCCATTTGCACGTTAGGCCAAGGCCAGAGGTGCGGGCTGGAGGGATGAGAGGACCCACGCACATCCTCTGGGGTTTGCTGAGCAACACAAGAACTCAGGGAGGGGGCCCTGTCCACGACAAAAGAGGAAAGGACGAGGTGCCTTCAGCAGTGCTCCTCAAAGAACGGTCCCCGGGTCACCTCAACGAGAGTCACCTGGAGTGTTCCCTAGAACCGGAAACCGCCTCTGGTCGCTAGCTTGGATCTCACTGGGCTGTACGACCACCGATCCTGCCCCCATCACCCCCGCCTCACGCCTCTGGTGGCAAGTGATACGACCAAAAAAAGACACGGTAAATCGAGTGAAAGTGAAGGGATGCACGCAATCTCACCGTCCTAGCTGGATAACACCCGCCACGGGCTGCCCTGGCTCCGGCCTCTCCCCTGACTCCCCAACTTGTAGAGTTGCCTGCCCCCCCCACGACCTGTCCGCTAAGATACCGGACGTCACCCACAGGGAACACCACCGCCCCCGCGCTCTCGCTCCTCCCTCGGTCTTCCCTAGCTCATAGAAAGGCCGCGTGCCCTTCCGGCTGCTCAAGGCCCCAGACAGCAAAGGCATCCTTCCCTCGCCTTTTTCTCTCAGCGATTCGTCGGTCCGGCTCTGTTCACCCTCTACAAACCTCCGGGATCCAACCCCCCCCCCCCTTCCCTGTTGCTATCACCCGGCTCCGAAGACAGCATCCTCTCTCACTTGGTGTACCGGTCCTGGCCCCCCTCCGGCACTCGGCTTCTGCCCTTCCCCCCGTAACTGATCACCCACGTGACTGACGCCCAGCGGTCTTTTTACAAGGTACACGGCAGATGACGCCCCTCCTCTGATCATCACCTTCCACCGGTTTCATCTCACTCCGGGGGACAAAGCCAAACCCCTGAAGGGGCCGACAGTGGCCCCCAGCCACCTCTGCCCGCAGCACCTGCCCCGCCTCCGCGGCGGGGTTCCAGCCTCGATGGCCTGTGAACACAGTCTTCCTCCGGGCGCATGTAACGCGGGTAGATCCGCCGCGCAGCCGGCTGTGTGCTTCGTGAACCCGGGGGCTCGGCCCCAGGGTTACTGCTCAGCGAGGCCTCCCCGCCCGCTCTGTAGAATACCGCACCCTCCATCGCTTTCAAAGCCATTGCCTTGCCTTTACAGACGTTCCCTGCCGGACATACTAGCTGGTTATTTGCACACATGTTCACAACCAGTCCCATTCTGTTCGCGGCTGCGTTCCGAACGCTAGAGCCCAGAGCCCAGCGCAGCCTGGACGTGCTCAGTGAATGTCTGAGACAAGGGGAACAGCCGGGAGGGACCTCTGCGCATCACTCCCTAGCACTGTACAGGGACGCTGGGGTCCCCCGGCTTCGCATTCTGGCTGGCACTTCACGTGTCCGCTGCCCTTAGTGAGATCTACGGCCAACGCTCCAGCCCCGGTGAATGGGATGAATTCCCTTTCGGTCATTACCTGGTTGGGAACTTGGGAACTAACACCCCCCCCCCCCCCACGTCCTTGTGCTAAAGGCTCTAAGACAGGAGCAAACTGGATTTTAAATAGCTGCCATAGCACGGTTTCACCAAAAAGCCAGGTATTTGTTGCTGGAGGAAGCCCCCAAACCCAAAAAGCAGGACAGTCTGAAGAGACCAGATGACCTTTTTTTCCATTTATCGTCAGGAAAACAGCCGCAGCACCAAATTTCACAGTGAGTTAGGGCGGCCCCGGCAATAACACATGAAAGCTGACGTGTCCTGTGTAATGAATCCTCAACACATTAAAACAGGTAATATTAATTCCAAACGTAGGATTTTTGACAAGTAAGCAAATAACAGACAAGGCATAGGAAAAAGATGAAAAGAAATTTATGAAGACCCTGGCTGTCTGTGGTCGAAGACCCAAGTGATTTTGTCCCCCATCCTTCTTGCCATTTTTTCCTCAATCTTTTACAGGGAATAAGTATTTCTATTTTTGTATTTAGTTTTAATTTTATTTTAAGTAAGCTCCACGCCCAATGGGGGCTTGAACTCACGACCCTGAGATCAAGAGTCACATGCTCTACCCACTGAGCCAGCCAGGAGCCCCTGGAAGAAGTATTTTTTATACTAGTACATTTATTTACAAAATAAAGACGATTTCAGAATAATGATGGGGAATTGTTTTTAAAGCTTTAAAAACACTTTCCAAGAAGAGGAAAAGGTAGAGAAATACCGTAACCATGTTTTTCTTTAAGTTCTTTACCATTACTTACATTTTAGAGAGTTTCAAATTTCCTGGATTTACACAGCAATTAAGCTCCAATACGAGCTCCATTTTGGCTTTACGTCAGCAAAGCTGAACAGGTACACATTCCTTCAAAATAAGCTTTTCATAGATTAAAAACATAAATATGCAGTTAAGAAAAAAAAGCTGTGAGATTACTCAATCTGAACCGCAAATCCCACCTTAGGTTCAAATAATTAAAAAACTTGTCATTAGGAAAAGTTTCAAACATGTCCCGGAAGAATAGTATAATCAAACCCTAAGCATCCCTCACGCAGCCTCATAATTAATAGAATGTGGCCAAACCCACTTCCTCTCAGCCTGGGCTATTCCCCTCCCCCCACCGCCCTTGCCAGCTACCCATGAACTACTTCAAGGTAAATCCTATCTTGCCAACAAATACTTCAATATGTCATTCAATATGTCGTCTCTAGGAGGTTAGGACTCTTTTATCTGTTTTTAAAATTTATTTTAGAGAGAAGGGTGCCCGGTGGCTCAGTTGGTTGAACGCCCGACTTCAGCTCAGGTCATGATCTCACGGTTCGTGGGTTCGAGCCCCAAGTCGGGGTCTGTGCTGACAGCGTGGAGCCTGGGGCCTGCTTCGGATTCTGTGTCTCCCTTTCTTTGTCCCTCCCCTGCTCATGCTCTATAAGTGGCTCTCTCTCTAAAATAAACATAAAAAAACATTATTTTAGAGAGACAGAGAGCTCTTGAGTTGCGGGGGGGGGGGGAGGGGAGAGAATATCTTAAGCAGACTCCATGCTCAGGGCAGAGCCCGACGTGGGGCTCGATCCTATGACCCTGGGATCATGACTTGAGCCGAAGTCAAGAGTGGGATGCTTAACTGACTGAGCCACCCAGGCGTCCCTCTTTTATCTTTTTAATAACCATGATAACGCTACCCCAACTAATAATCATTCCTTTAAATATCCAGTTTTATGATTGCCCCAATAATACTTTAATATCGTTTGTTGACATTTCATTCACAGCTTGGTAGCATGGACAGACTCCCACTGGCCAAATGTGTGGTAATTTCAACATTAAAGAATAATGGCTGAAAGTTATTTCAACACACTGAATACGCAAAAATCTATCAAAAAGAAAGATCGTTTGCCAGAGCCCTGCGTGACTATTACCCTGACTCCTCACTGTGAAAATTGGTCAAGAAAAAGAACGAAGCATCATCCTACCTCTTTAGGGAGAACTACAATCAGTAATCATCCCCAGTTGGTGAAGGAAAAGCTCTTCGTTAGAGGAGAATGCCAGCTAATAAATGGAGAAGAGAAGTAATTTACAAATCACCATTTTGCCACCTTCAGTCAAATCACAGATTCAGGCAAGGATGGAGGCAAAATCATGAGGTAAAAAGCTAATGAGGAAACGAGGTATTCATATGGTGCCGAAGGGCGGCGCAAAGATTACCTGCAAATCGAAATGGGGAAAACACACTTTGGCCGTCACCCTGCCTGACCTAAGGTCAGACTCAGCATCCCGCCGGTGGGAAGAAGCCAACATCCTAGGGCATGCCTCCTTGTGCAGTGTGGCACCTGTTCGGTGCCTTCTGCAAAGCATTCCTGCTGGAAAAGGTCTAACAGGAACCTGGTCTAGCCTCTACACTTAGCTTCCAGTTTCCAAGGAACACAAGGGCCAGACTCAGAGAGGAACAAATCAGATGACAGCACAAGGAAACAATCGGACAGATCCAGACTGTAGGACAAGACAACTGGCTCGGTGTCTTTAAAAAAAAAGTCAGTGTTATGGGGAATAAAAAGGGGGGGGGGGCTAATCTTGATTTAAAAAGACAGAGGAGACATAATGATAAAATACAGTGTGTTTGAAAAAAGCAACTGAAAAGGTATGTTGAGATACAGGGGACAAACTCTCACCGCTGTTGTTTAACACAGTGTTGGAAGTTCTAGCATCAGCAATCAGACAACAAAAGGAAATCAAAGGCATCAAAATTGGCAAAGACGAAGTCAAGCTTTCACTTTTTGCAGATGACATGATATTATACATGGAAAACCCAACAGACTCCACCAAAAGTCTGCTAGAACTGATACATGAATTCAGCAAAGTCACAGGATACAAAATTAATGTACAGAAATCAGTTGCATTTTTATACACCAATAATGAAGCGACAGAAAGACAAATAAAGAGACTGATCCCATTCACAATTGCACCAAGAATCATAAAATACCTAGGAATAAACCTAACCAAAGATGTAAAAGATCTGTGTGCTGAAAACCATAGAAAGCTTATGAAGGAAATTGAGGAAGATACAAAGAAATGGAAAAACATTCTGTGCTCATGGATTGAAAGAATAACTATTGTTAAAATGTCACTACTACCCAAAGCAATCTACACATTCAATGCAATCCCAATCAAAATTGCACCAGCATTCTTCTCGAAGCTAAAACAAGCAATCCTAAAATTCATATGGAACCACAAAAGGCCCCGAATAGCCAAAGTAATATTGAAGAAGAAAACCAAAGCAGGAGGCATCACAATCCCAGACTTTAGCCTCTACTACAAAGCTGTAATCATCAAGACAGCATGGTATTGGCACAACAACAGACATAGACCAATGGAATAGAATAGAGACTCCAGAATTGGACCCACAAATCTATGGCCAACTAATCTTTGACAAAGCAGGAAAGAACATCCCCAACAGAAAAAAGACAGTCTCTTTAACAAATGGTGCTGGGAGAACTGGACAGCAACATGCAGAAGGATGAAACTAGACCCTTTCTTACACCATTCACAAAAATAAACTCAAAATGGATAAAGGACCTGAATGTGAGACAGGAAACCATCAAAACCCTAGAGGAGAAAGCAGGAAAAAACCTCTCTGACCTCAGCCGCAGCAATTTCTTACTGGACACATCTCCAAAGGCAAGGGAATTAAAAGCAAAACGGAGCTATCGGAACCTCATCAAAGATAAAAAGCTTCTGCACTGCAAAGGAAATGATCAGCAAAGCTAAAAGGCAACCAACAGAATGGGAAAAGATATTTTCAAATGACATATCGGACAAAGGGCTAGTATGCAAACTCTATAAAGAACTCACCAAACTCCACACCCGAAAAACAAATAATCCAGTGAAGAAATGGGCAGAAGACATGAATAGACACTTCTCCAAAGAAGACATCCAGATGGCCAACAGGCACATGAAAAGATGCTCAACGTCACCCATTATCAGGGAAATACAAATCAAAACCACACTGACATACCACCTCACGCCGGTCAGAGTGGCTAATATGAACAAATCAGGAGACTATAGATGCTGGCAAGGATGTGGAGAAACGGGAACCCTCTTGCACTGTTGGTGGGAATGCAAACTGGTGCAGCCACTCGGGAAGACAGTGTGGAGGTTCCTCAAAAAATTAAAAACAGAACTACCCTAAGACCCAGAAATAGCACTGCTACGAATTTACCCAAGGGATACAGGAGTACTGATGCATAGGGGCACATGTACCCCAATGTTTACAGCAGCGCTTTCAACAATAGCCAAATTATGGAAAGAGCCTAAATGTCCATCAACTGACGAATGGATAAAGAAATTGTGGTTTATATATACAATGGAATACTACTTGGCAACGAGAAAGAATGAAATCTGGTCATTTGTAGCAACGTGGATAGAACTGGAGAGTGTTATGCTAAGTGAAATAAGTCAGGCAGAAAAAGACAGATACCATATGTATTCACTCATGTGGATCCTGAGAAACTCAACAGAAGATCGGGGGGAGGGAAGGCGGGGAAAACGTTATAGAGAGGGAAGGAGGCAAACCATAAGAGACTCTTAAACACGGAGAACAAACTGAGGGTTGATGGGGGTGGGGAGAGGGGAAAGTGGGTGATGGGCATGGAGGAGGGCACCTGTTGGGATGAGCACTGGGTGTTGTGTGGAAACTAATCTGACAATAAATTATAAAAGAGAAAAGAGAGATACAGGGGACAAGCTGGATATGGACGAGATTCCTGATGGACCAGATGCTATCAGAGAAGTCCTGTGCATGGTCTCAGGGACAATGCCATTTTTGGGAGGGGACTTGGTTGTTTGCGGGGTAGAGGACTGCGACATCTGCCACTTACTCTGACAGGATGTGGCTGAAAATACACGTGCAGTATGGCAACACTTGCTGAATCTACGTTATGGTTACACGGGTGTTCTGTTACCAGTCTTACAACTTCTCTGTATAATTTTGTTCATAATTAAAAAATTTTTAGGGGCACCTGGGTGGCTCAGTCGGTTAAGTGTCCGACTTCAGCTCAGGTCACGATCTCACGGCTTGTGAGTTCGAGCCCCGCGTCGGGCTCTGTGCTGACAGCTTAGAGCCTGGAGCCTGCTTCGGATTCTGTGTCTCCCTTTCTCTGCCCTTCCTCCGCAAAAACAAACAAACACCCGCTGGGTCAGGACCCCCTCAAAACAAGATGACATAAGGAAATAAGTAATAAAACATTATTTTTTTTTTTGAAGTTTATTTTTTTATTTTCAGAGAGACAGAGAGTGCAAGCAGGGGAGGGGCAGAGAGAGGGGGAGAGACAGAGAATCCGAAACCAGGCTCTGTACTGTTAGCACAGAGCCCCACGCGGGGCTCCAACTCATGAACCTTGAGATCACAACCCGAGCTGAAATCAGGAGTTGGACACTGAACACACTGAGCCATCCAGGCGCCCCAAGAATAAAACACGATAATGTTAAGTGGGTTCAAATAGTTTAAGCTATAGGATGTCTGGGGTTATGAGAACAAAGGTTAAGAACCCTTTCAAGGTGGACGTAAAATAGGAAGCCTTGCTCTCTCATAAGATTTCTCTAATTCAATGTCTCCGATACTCTGTCAAACAAACAGCAGGCTGAATGAGCCAGTGGTCTAAATCGAAATAGAAACGGTTACATTCTCATGACAATATCGGTGCATTTAGTTACTTTCTGCCACAGCTATCCCTTCTGAGACATCCAAAAGTATTTTAAAAGCCAATTATCTTAGGGGCACCTGGGTGGTGCAGTCGGTTAAGCGTCCGACTTCAGCCAGGTCACGATCTCGCGGTCCGGGAGTTCGAGCCCCGCGTCGGGCTCTGGGCTGATGGCTCAGAGCCTGGAGCCTGTTTCCGATTCTGTGTCTCCCTCTCTCTCTTCCCTCTCCCCTTCCCCGTTCATGCTCTGTCTCTCTCTGTCCCAAAAATAAATAAAAAACGTTGAAAAAAAATTTTAAAAAGAAAAATAAAAGCCAATTATCTTAAAGTTGTTTACTTAAATCACACACTTTTATAGTATGGGTATCCATTTCTGGTCTCATGGTAACTCAGACCTTACTAAGATCATCCTAAACTGGGGGGATCTGCATCTAGTTGTAGTTTTTAATTCGGTAGCTAACTCTACCTCTAGGGGGGGAAAAACAACCATATAATTTTTTTTTTTTTTTTATTCCTTATTTACTTGAGACTGGATCGCCCAAAATGTATCCTGCAAGCACTGGAGGACAAACTGACAAGTGCCCTCAAACCCTTTCACCCCAGTAATTTCGGTCCTCTCTCCACTGCTTGGATCTCTTCAACACCATCACTAACCTGCCTGGGACCATGGGAGAAAACTGACAGCTGCATTATTCCAAATGCACACAACGCGGAGTAGCTTTAGTGTTTGACCCACATCTTCCATAAGAAATTGAAATGATTTTAGATATTAAGCCGTAAAGCGGGACATGATGAAATAAACACGTGGCTACTTCCATACGCTGTGTATTTCTGGTGAGCTTAGGGCTGCGTTATCTTTTCACATTGGTCTGCAGTTGTTTAAAATGAACACTATTCTTTGAGGACTAGTTTCTTCCCATTTTTATTATGAAAATGTTTAAACATACAGAAAAGCTGAAAGACTATACAGTGAACACCCAATACCCATTCATCTAGATGCTACATGTTGCTGTCCTTGTTTTATTTATCTATTTATTCCTTCTTCCATCCCTTTGTGTTTGGATACATTTCAAAGTAGATTGCAGACATCGGTACACTTCATCCTCAAATACTTCTGTATGCATACCATGAACTAGGGTTCACTATGTGTCTACGATTCCTTTCACTTTGGGGCAAAATTTACATACAATGACATGTACAAACCTTAACTGTATCTTTTAATCGGTTTTGACAAGTACAAACATCTCTGGAACCAAAACTCCTGCCAACGTGTAGAATATTACCATCACCCCAGAAAGTTCTCTCATGCTTCTTCCAAGTCAGTCTCTGTCCCCAGCCAGGGGCAAAGACTGTCCTCATATTTTTCCACCAGTCTGCCCTAAGATTTCATATAAAGGGAACCATGCAGTATGTACTCTTTGTTGAAAGGCATCTCAGCATGTTTTGGGGACTCAGCTGTGTTGTTGCAAGTATCATCAGTTTGTTCCTTTTTATTTCAGAGGATTGTCCCAGTGTATGAATATACTCCAGATTTTAAACCCAGTTTTCTGTTGAGGAACATTTAGACCGTTCCTAGTTTGGGGCTATTATGAGGAAGGTTGCTAGTCATATACAAGAAAAAAAAAAAAGCGGCCAAGTCATTACTGCTCCGAAGGACAGCTGCATTCTCCTTGATAGATTATTTTGCATTACTTTTGGTGGTATCTCTTCAGGAGGTACTGTCACGAACCTTCTCGGAAAATGATTTAAATATGTGGTTATGATATGTGGATACGATACAGGTTATGATCCTGTCCTGTAAGAGATTAAATTGCTTGCACCCTCACTGATATTTTGCTGATAGTCACAAGCTCGTATTTACTGATGTTATTTCCAGAGAGGTTGGATCAAAGTTACATAGAGTCTAGTGAACTAAGTATTTGTGAAATTAACTTCGCCAATCCCTAGGGCTTTAAGAAGCCTCTCACACCTCTCACAGGAGTGTCACAAAGTCCTTGCTTCTGCCTGTCGACCTGCCAACTATCCATCTGCCCCATTCTAACGGGTTTGAGCTGTACAACTTTAATCCCAGAGGACTGAAGCATGGTCACTGAGCTTGCCCGCTGCTGTCCCTTGGCTCTGGTTTTGCTCTTCCATAAGGAGAACAAAGTACTCTCCATACTCAGGTTGGCTTTGTAAGAGCTAGAACGTTGATTTGCAACACTGGAAAAAGCCAACACATGTCTCTGGCCAATTTCTTAACCACATTTCTTTAGCTACGACATTTTTCATTTATTTTATATTTTAGTTATTTTACTGCAATAGCTTAATAACCAACCATCCAGGAAACTTTTTTTTTTTTTTAAGCCTTAAAATCCAGAGCTACAGACTCAATATTAACGTCGGACTTATTCCTGTACATGAATCTTCTACATGGTCATTTCCTCTTCCACAACCGTCATCTCAGGGACCAGCATCACAGTCCACCCAGAGCCACATCGTTTGCGTTTTTGCTCTCCCTCGCTCTCCTAGCTAACCCAACACCAAGTCTCACAAATTTTACTTCCTAACACCACTCAAAATCCATCCACTTCTCTCCATAGCCACTGCCACCAATCTAGTTCAAGACATCTTGAACTTGGACCTCTCTTGTCTGGATTCCCACCAGTCCCCTAACTACACACTTGAACCCTGCAATCCCTTCCCGTCTCTGCGTTGCTCTCACCACACCCCATGCCCTCCTCACCTCAAAACCGCCCCAAATTACAGGTCAACATCGTTCATGAGGCCAAAGGCTCTTGCCACGTCTCTAGCATCGTTCTATACCAAACTTCTTCCTTGTCTAAACAACACTGGCGGTGCAGGGTTGAAATGCTCTTCCCTTAAGCTTAGGAAACGCCAGATCATTGCTCAGTGCTCCCTTTCTCTGGGCATTCTTCGGATTACCTTCCAAACTACGCCCATCAGCCACTAGTCTCCCTGCTCCCTCATCTGTTTGTGGAGCTCAACATCAAGTGCTTGTACAGTATAGTTTATCCGTCCTTTATGACCCTTATCGCAATTACAATTTTGTGATTTTCTTACTGCTGTTTCTCTCCTTTACTAGACGGCAAGTTCTCGGAGGCTGGGAACGAATCTCAGTTATCTTTTACTGTATCGTCCGCGGCACAGGAAACAGTCGTTGACTTTACAGACTCCCCTCCACTCCCTGTACTTAGACGGAGGCCTTCCACGAACGTGGAACTGAGGCTTTTCAAGTCGGAAAGCTATTTACTTCTTTCAGGAGTCTTAAGCCACGGAGCCTATTAAACAGTAAGTAGGGAAAACCGAGATCCCTCAATCGCTCAGTAACCCTCCCCGCCACGGCCTCCTCCGGAGGCTACGGGTTCTAGAAAAGGCATGTGGCCGAAGCCAGGGACTACAGTACAGGACGCGGAGCGCTTCCGCAGAACGGACCGCGGTCAAGTGTTTCGGCTGCGGCCACGCCCACGCCGGGAAGCGGGGGGGGGGGGGGGGCGCTCTCGGCGCGCCTCTGCCAGAGAAGGGGCGTGGGGACGTGGGGCGTGCGTGCGTGCCCGTACGTGCGCCCCGATGGCGGGGCGGGCCGCCCAGAGGAGCGGAGGAGGCCGGCGTCCAGCCTCGGTTCCGCGGCTTCCGAGCGCAGGCAGCGTCCTGGTCCCAAAGACGGCCCTAGAGGCGGGCCGGATCCCCGGCCCCGCGGCAGGGCCTGCGGCGCTCCGCTCGGCGGCTAGGGCGGCACTGACCTTCCAGGGACACGGCCGAGCGCGAGGCCGCTCCCTCCGCAGGTCTGTGCCTACGCCCAAACCCTTCTGCCACAGGTCCCCTCACCCACTCGGCGCCCCTGGCCTTTAGCTGTACCTGTGCCGGGCCGACGATTGTAGGTCTGGCAGAAGAAGCCGGGGAACGGCCCTCGCGGGGAGGCCCTCTTCGCCCTCCGTAGTGGGCGGGGCTTCGGCCCGCGTCTTTTAAAGGAAAGGTGACGTAGGGAGGAGCGCCTTCCAGCCGGCGGGCAGAGGTCCTCCGACAGAAAGTGCAGAGGGCGAGGGGCGGTTCCTGCGCCTCCTCTCTTTCAATTTAACGTTGACTAAAATATTTCGTCAGTGTTCTTGTAGTTACCGTGATTTAAGGAGCACTGCCCCCGGTTTGCAGGTGAGCACACAGATTCGGGAAATAAAAGATCGTCTTAGGTTCCCGAGCGCTGGGTCCCAGGAGACATCCGGAGATGGGGCCGGGCGTGTGAGATTCAATGGATGTAACTGGGAGAGCTTCCGGCAGGCCGTCGGTTTTACGAAGGTGAAAACGGGCCGGTGGTGGTGAAGTGGTTCGTCCGGAGTTCGTGGGGCGGTCCCAAAACTCGGGTGCAGTCGGGTGCTCCCGGGTGTCACCTGCTTGTCCGCGAGGCTGCTCTGTGGGTGTCAATTTCCTGCCCTCTCACCTCGTCTTCGATCGGAAATTCCTCAGCGCCCAGTGGAAATCTGCCGTCGTGACTTAGTGAAGCTACATCGTTAGGGAATTTACCGTATTGCGAGCAAACCACGTTTAGAGGATGTTATAGCCCCGCCAGCACATTGCTCTATTCTCGTTAAATGACTTCTTGAATCCGATTTTACCTGCTTTATTGCAGATCAAAACACGAGTTCAGCTTTAAGTAGCTCCTTCAGAGCAGAGGCCCAAGTTTCTGTCCCAGTGTCTGGCATCTTACGTGCTGACTATTTTGTTGAAATAGTGAAGTGGGAAACCCAGAAACAGCGTGTAGGTGGCCCGAAGTCCACGGTTAGTATTTCCATGTTGGCCATTTCCAAGTTACACCAGGAGAGTTAGAGATTCATGTTACTCTACCAAAATTATTCCATAATACCAGGATATGAATTTGTTTAGTGTAGATACGGGGATAGAGTGACTATAAGATACCGTGGGTAGGTGCTCAACAATTATGCATATGCCCATTTATAGAATTTACCTGCCAGGCACCGTTCTAGGCATTTTACTTCTCTCAAATCACTTAATCCTCAATACAAGCATCTCACCCTGTTCCACGGATGAGAGAACTGAAGCATAAAGAGGTTCAGCCAAGGTCATGTACCAGTAGCAGAGTCAAACGTCTGGCTCTTGACCTTGGCTCAGGTCACGATCTCACGGTTGGTGGGTCTGAGCCCCACAGCGGCACAGAATCTGCTTGAAATTCTCTCCCACTTTCTCTGCCTCTCCCCTGCTCATGTGCTCTGTCTCCCTCTCAAAGTAAATAAAACTAAAAAAAAAAAAAAGAATAAAGGAGTGCAGGCAGCCTGAAGCCAGAGTTGGCAGTCTTAATACTAAATATTCTTTCCACTGCTAGACTGAACTAAGGAAGCAGGAGGGTTACAAGTCTGTGAAGGTATTTGTGAAATACGTAAGATTAAAGGGCTTTAGTGCCCAAATTAAGGACTTGAAATTTGGTAAGGTTGCAATTTGAATGAATTCACAGGAAGTAATCGTTAGGTAACTGGAGCTACCTGCCAGGACCCCGTTGGTATCCCCTCTTTGAAGGCTGTGTGTCCGGCGTAGATAATTCGAGAAGTTTCCTAGACTGTCATCAGCAGATATCTCAAGGAGGAGGTGCTTTAGTGTTCCTGGAAGCAGATGAGCCGGAAAATACACACATTGCAGACATGCCCTCAGAGAGCAGCTTTTTTGTTTGTTTTGTTCTAAATCTCTTCTCTTGAACTCGGCCTTGACCTCCAGCTGAAATGAGATGCGGCAGCTTTTAAAAAGTCATTGGGAGTCTTGGATTCAGCTCCGTGGTGGCAGATTTTGGAGACCCTTGAATAAAGATAGTAAAGCAGGTAACTGGCTCGCTTGGGTCCCCTTCCTGTATTTATGGCCTCTAGGGCTCTCAGGAACTTACACACGTTTTCAGTTGCTATTGTTTCTACCCATAATTTACAAAAAGCAAAACCAAAAACCCAAACGGAAGTAATAAAACTCAAATCCAGGGGACTCTAAAACGTTTGCATTTTCCTCCACAGAGTAATTTCCCCATTAATTCCCATGGTCCCCAAATGACACAGTTTCTCACACAATGTGTACATTGGTGTTTTGCTCTGAGAAAGGATTAAAGGGAAATTCTGCCCCTCGCCTTGAAAATCCCCTCTCTCCACAGGCATGGTGGGAATCTTCGGAACAGAGAAGCCCCTGGAGACAGTCTCGGCCTGAGGTCACTGAGGCGCAACGTACCCGCTCCACAAAGTAATTATTCTGTGGGCGATTTCTTCAAAAAGTGATTAACACTCGACTCTGTCGTGATGCCACAGTTACTACAGACAATAACTTTAAGAGGCTGATCTTCCACTAATGAAATCCTGTGTTTACTCTGAGGTCACATAGGTGACTCAGAGCCTGCGCGGCTTCACACATTCAGCATATGCTTCGACACCTAGTTGTTAACGGATCACGGCTAGCTTGTGTATCCCCTCACATTACATCGTAAGCTCTCATCAGGACAGTTCGGTGAAAATAGGGGAATTGAAGTCCATCGTGTGTGAGATCCTACGTAGTCCCTACTAAATCTAGCTGACGGCAGTTGTCTTAAGTGGCGGCAACTTTCTCATTACCGTGCCTTCTTAACCGCTAAGAGGGTCCACGCTTTCCTTAATCTATGTTTACAAGCTTGTCAAGAGGGGCACGGAAAGCAAGGTGCGCGAGGGGGCGTGGCTGAGTGTGAGCTAACTCGTCAAAGACACCTTGAAGATACCCTCGGCCCAGTACCATGTGCCCGTTATGACAACACACGAAAGCTGGAAACCTTCTCACCGGAGCTCTACTGGTGACCCCCAGGGGGAACTGTGATTCATCTATTCCAGGCGTGTAAAGATTCACACACTTAGAAAACTCCGAGGCAGGGAGATTCAGCCTTCCGTAGGAGCTCATTTCACTGTTTTGAAAGACCGAGGGAATGAATCTCTTCCTTCAACCTAAATCCATCATGGGGCTGCGTGTGCCGATTCCCCAGAAGAGCCGGAGAACATCTGGTGACCGCATCTGTGTGAAAACCCTTTCCGTCCTCCCCAACTGTTGCTAGATTCAGAATACGTTGACCACGTGCAAAGTTTCCCATAACATTAGACTCCAGACCGATCATTCCTCTTGTCAGAAAATGATGGCACCAATTATTAAAACATGATGGCGGTTGCGAGCAAGGGAGATAAATTCATCTACAATGAATGACCTGTTGTAATAAAGTTTTGGAAAGCTTTCAGGTCTGCCGAATAAAAGAGAGGTCTATCGGGAAGATCCATCTATCTTCTGTGAAAAGTCTTGTGCCACTGAACGAAGCAGAAAATAGCCTCGAGAGTCCCCACTGGAAAAAACGAGACCCTTCATGAACGTCATAGGACGTGATGCTAAAGTGCCAACAGCTGGCATGGGAAACTTTGCAGAAGGTACAATGCCTGCTGGGTAAATCCAAGCAAAACAGGACCAAGTTCTTAGCATTTTACATTAAAAAAATTTTTTTTCCAACGTTTATTTATTTTTGGGACAGAGAGAGACAGAGCATGAACGGGGGAGGGGCAGAGAGAGAGGGAGACACAGAATCGGAAACAGGCTCCAGGCTCCGAGCCATCAGCCCAGAGCCTGACGCGGGGCTCGAACTCACGGACCGCGAGATCGTGACCTGGCTGAAGTCGGACGCTTAACCGACTGCGCCACCCAGGCGCCCCAACATTTTACATTTTAAATAACACCCACTAATGTTTGCCGACAGGTGAGATTTTTCTAGCTAGGCTCTTTAAGGAAGGCAGGACTGCCGGCAACTACAATGTTAGTAATGAGATTTGTCCTCTCGCTTTGAGAAGCTCGTCAGATGTGAAGTTTTAACATGCTCACCGGGTCGGGAAGATTTCCACTGTACGTTTCATTGTTTGCCTGCCCCCCCCCCACCCCCTCCCTTAAAGTTGCTAGGTTCTGCTGCAAAGATTTTCGGGGCTGTTTTGTTGGCAGCTTAGGACGCATCCGTGACCTTACCAAAGTGGAAGTGAAAGCTCTCAGTATTTCTTCTTTCTTTCTTTCTTTCTTTTTTGCAACAGTAAATCTATTAATTTTACAGTCAGTTGAACAGCAATAGGTTAATTTGTTTAAAGTCTGCGTTCACAAAGAAAACCTGAACCGCAGTGGCTTGAATGCCTGAAACTGCAGCGTAGTGGCTGAAGGGTAGACACTCTCACAGCGCGCTCGGGACGGACGCTGGCGGTCCACTGTCACCTGCTTCTCCGCACAGGTGCTGACCCCTCGGTTGATCCGGGGCCTCCTGGCGGGGTAGCGGGAAGGCTGGGCCTTTTGTGTGCTACAGAGAACGCTTTTCCAAGGACTGGGCCCGTTGTCTCCAGCAGCCACAGGAAGCAGAAGAAAGAAGAGGTTAAGGGCCACCGTGAGGGTCAGGATGGGTTAAATTTAGTTAACATCGGAGGTTATAGCTTTTAACAAGAGCTTCAAGAAAACTTATTCGAAGATGCAATTTGTCTCTTCTTTGTCAACGGTTATTTTTTTTTTTTTTTTTTTGCCCTATTGATAGTGACAGCCTAACAAAGTTTTTATATGCTGGAGGTTTTCATCCTTTATAGAGAAGAAAGGACTGTGTTCCTAAAGAGAGGTGCAGGTGGGGGACTTTTTTATAAAGCTTCCGTGATTTTCAAATTGGGAGGCTTTAGAATAGGCTCCCTGCTTGGCTAAGTCAAAAATAATCTGTGAGGGATGTTGAAAAAAAAATCCCCATTAGAAATGGAGGAATGCTTCAGCAGTCAGATGCAGGGGCTCAAGTTTCTAGAAGCTTCTTTGTGTGTGTTTACTTTCAACCATCCCAGCCTAGTTTTCCCAGTTGTTTTTTTCAAAGTTACCAAAGAGGCCCCCTCTTAAGTTTCCACATGTACGTTTCTTTCCATTTCGAGCATAACACCGGACATCACTAGTTGTGTGT